GCACCTAACAACATCTATGTAAAAGTATATGTGTTTTGTGGTTACATTAACTTTGTGTGTGTACTTTGTGTTCTCTACACTGCTGACATGTGTGCTCTCTGCACATACCATGTTATGTTGTGTGTGACTAGATTTTCCTACAGAAGGACAGAATTTAAAGGGGCAGCTAGTCACTCTTGTTTTTCCTACTTCCATTCTTTTAAAAAAATACATAGAAGTGCTCTGTATTACTGTTTTAAATTCTGAAAAGGCAGTATTATTTGGAGGCTGAGGGAGCCCAGAGATTAGGTGAAATTACACTTTCCTTGAGAGAATCTCTCAACACTTGAAGTTTCACATCCCTTTCTTTCCTTGGTCAAAACAAAATGGGGAAAGAAAGATCATTATATTTGCTACATGACTTCCCCATGACCTTTTTCTACTTAGAGCTTTTCCTCATTTCTTTAATGGTATGCTTTCATGTGCAGGGTTCTAATTGTTTAGATTCACTCACAACTTAATCTAATGTGCACTAAATACTTAACATTAACCACAGAGAATCAGATTTCGCTTCTTTACTTCTATTTTTTCCATCTTCATTTTTTTTTACAAATTGTAATATATTTAAATTATACAGAAAATATAATGAACACCCATAGATCTACTACAGAGCTTTGTTAATTCTTAATATTTTGCTATTTTTGTCTGATTGTTTAAGAAATCAAACATTACAATTCAGTATAGCCTCTTTCTTAAGATCTTACTGGTATAAAAAATTCAGCCTAATATTATTCTGAGCTTAGCTTTTAGGAATATATTTAACAGTATTATTTTGTAAAACCTTCTCTTGATCTGTATTATTTTGTAGTTTCAAGGAGTCCAGATCTCTGTTCTTCCTGAATCTGAATATTCATGTTCTTCATAAGTTCATGAAAATTCTCAACCATTTTCTCTTTTAGTATTGCTTTTCCCTATTTTCTCTACTAGCCTCTGAAACTCTTATGAAAGTTATATTGTTAAGAGCGATAGAGCCGGTGTTTATTCCTATTGATACCATGTAACAGTAGAACTGCCCCAAGGGTTTGCTGGCTGGTAATATAGTGGTTACTAATCGGGCTGCTAACCTCAAGGTTGGCAGTTCAAAACTACCAGCCACTCCGCGGGAGAAAGGTGAGGGTTTCTGCTCCTGTAAAGATTTATAGCCTCAGAAACCCTGTGCAGGGTCACTATGACTCCACAGTACTTAACCAACAACAATCTTTACGGCAGCAGAGTGCCTATCTTCTCCCCAAGAGTTGCTGGGTAGGTTCAGTCTGACTACTTGTCTGTTATAGTTGAGCACTGACCCATTTGTGCCATCAGGGCTCCTTAGAGCTTAGACCTTCTCTTTCCATGTCTTTTAAACTGAATTTCTGTCTTCCATCTGTTATATTCTAGATATGTTTCGCATAGCTTAACATGTTGCCATATAGTCTACTGTCGTTAGCGACCTTATAGGACGAAGTAGAACGACTCCATGGTGTTTCTGAGGCTATCATCTTTACGGAAGTAGCTTGCCTCATCTTTCTCCCCAGAGGAACTGATGGGTTTAAACCACTAACCCTATAGTTAGCAGCCCAGCACTAAACCCACATCACCAGGGCTCATTATTCTCATATTAACCATGTCTAATTTGTGTAACCCAGTTTAAGTTTAATAACCGTAATTTTTCGCCTCTCAAAATTCCATTTGGTCCTTTTTCAAACCTGCCTGTTCTTTGTGTGTATCATGTCTTTTTCGTATTTTCTTTTGTCTTTAATCATTTAAAAAGTTTTTATAGTTTTTCGATGACCCTGTTTATTTCTGCTTACCTGGACTGTTGGCACATGTTTTGTAATAAAGGACCATCTTCAGTGGGACTTTATCTGTGGGAACCCCTTCTTATCTATGATCCAGATGTTTCTAACCAGAGAAATTTACCTTTGCTTCTGGCCTGCTACCCTAGGAATATCCATAACTGGAGAGTAATTTTAATTTTCTGGCTTAGAGGTTTCTGAATCACGTGAATAATATGACTCACAATACCTAAACCTGCACTAAAGACAGGATCAGGATGACACATTCTTAGTGGAGACAGAATTTCTCACTTTCCTGAGTTTTATGCTTAATTTCTCTAGCCATCCCTGCATGAATCTTAGTTCCAGCACTCTGCTTTGCTTGAAAACCATTTTTTGTCCAAACATGAACATTAAAACCTACGCCCCAAAATTACCAAGAGTGGGGACCTGTCAGCTGTATTTTTTACATTTTCCACTCTATAGTTTCTAGTCCCCTCTTTTCTTTTGGCATCTAAAAAATCCTTCCCTATTTTTAAAAACATATTTGTAATATGTTTTTACATCTTACATATATGGAGCCTATAAGACTTTGAAATTGTTCCACAGTCCCCCTTTTGATTCACCTATAGTTTGTAGAAATTACACAGGAGCTTTCCTACACCATTTTCAGATGATTATGTATGTAATAATTAATCATCTGTAATATGTAAAAATTCTGGTTATTTTGTGAAAGGAGTTTTTTGAGGCCTTTAGTCTACTGTGTTTCTAGACTGCCTCTACCATCCACTGCTGTTGGATTGATTCCAATTCACAGCAATTTTACAGAACAAAGGAGAACTACTCTGTAGGGTTTCCAAGACTACATCTTTATAGGAGCAGTCTCATCTTTTTCCTGTGGAGTGGCTGGTGGGTTTGAACTGCTGACCTTGTGGTTAGCAGCCCAGTGCTTAACCTCATTGCTAGGAAGAGGAGCCAAGATATCTTCTTCACAGAGATCACAGTCAAGATCCTCACACTGCCCATCACCTTATTCTCAAAGCATCCTTGGGATTCTAAATTAATTAACAAAAGTATCCTTCAGAGTTAACCACAGTCCTTAAGCAACAAAAAGACCCCTGTGGTAAATTACAGCTAAGTGGAGTCGAGAGCAATCCACCAGCTGATCCTTTATTCCACACACTTTGTTCAGATATCCTGCACGCTAGCAGTGGGCTGAGAACTAGAAATTATTGTTAAGTTCAGTCGAGTCGGTTTCAACTCATAGGAACCCTCCCTGTATAAGGTTTCTGAAGAGCAGCTGATGGATTTGAACTGCTAACTTTGCAGTTAGCAGTCTAGTGCTTATTCTGTGTACTGGTATAAGACAGTCCCTGATTACAGAAGAGGAAGCAAATGGTGGGTAGATGAGGCACTAAAACGCCACTGAAGAGCTTACTGAGGTATCATAGATTGAATTGTGTCATCCCAAAACGTTGTCAACTTGGCTGAGTCATGATTCTCAGTGGGGTGGCAGTTATGTGATGTGGTCTGATAAACCAATTAAGAGGGTTAAGGGTGGGCTTCAGTACCCCTTGGAATCCTAGTGTGGCACTGTAGGATAAGCACTGGACTGCTAACCACAAGGTTCGTGGTTCAAATTCACTAGCCATTCCTCAGGACTATAGTGTCAGGACAAGGTCAATAGGCATTAACAGTCTCCCAAAACAATGTTCTACACTCTGCTTTGACGAATAGCGAAGCTCTTGAGTTAACCATCTAAGGTGCAACTTTCCATGCGTGGGAGAAAAAGGTGATTAAAATTGAAGACACCTGGAATCAATTAATCAAATGGACTAATGGAACACATGAACATCAGTCTCCACACTGAGACCAGAAGAACCAGATAATGCCCAGCTACCACTACCTAGTGCTCTAAAAGGAGCACATTAGAAGGTCCTGAATAGAATGGGAGAAAATGTCCCTCTTGAAGTCTGGAATAGAATTCACCCTTGTTGTCCAGTTTTCCACCAAACTGTAGATGAGTATATAGAGGGAACAATAACACTACCAAGTTATGTCCTCCATGAAATGGTCAACCATTCAAGATCAAAAAGGCCACATTTGCCTAAGGACAAAGATCAAAAGGGTTGGAAAGGAGGGTGAAATGGAAATAAGAACCACAGTGAGGAAGCAGAATAACAGTTGTTACATGGAAGGGACTGTCATCATTCAGACAAAGTATATGATTTATTGAACATAAAAACTGTTGATCTGCTCTGTAAACCGTCATTCAATTCACAATAAAGTTACAAAAATAATTAAGGGGGGTGACGGAGGACTTACTACCTGATCAAAACAGATCATTCTGTTCTTAGCATTTTTTTTTTTCTAGCTCCATCTCATCTAGTACTAAGCCCTCCACCCATGAAAAACAGTCCATTTCATCACTAATAATCTGGAATGGTGTAGGAAGGCTCATGTAATTTCTACAAATTACAGGTGAATCAAAAGGGGGACTTTGAAAGAATTTCAAAGTCTCATAGACTCCAGACTTTCTGGAATCATGGAGGGTTGATGAACTCCAGAAACTATTGGATCAAAGTTAGAATAGTTAACTGAAAAGATTGACTAGAACCTTAGCAAGCAGCCAGTGTTTGTTAATGGGGAGTAACAGCTCAGAAAAGGAGAACAAGAATGAATATGATCCATGGTTATCAATGGCACTGAATTGGACATGTGGAAGCTATTGAATTGGTGTACTTTTTTCTGTGTATATTCTCTACAAAAACAAAATTGTAAATATAAAAAAGGAATGAACTTTCTATACAAACACACACACACCTCAGATGTTTTCTACATGCTCTTCCATTGGGCATGCCTACCTGCCTTCTACCTCTATTTGGGGAGAATCACTCATCTATGTAACAGAAACATTTGGAGCCGAAACCTCTCCTTCACTTAAAGTACCATAATGCTAGTTCAGAATGTTTCACCCCACCACCTGTGCCTTAGACACTAGCTTACTCTTAATAGAAACATAGCTTTCCTGTAGCTTTACACCCAGCCCCTGAAGTGACAGATGAGCCAGTATGTGATAAAGTTGGGTTGTGCAGGCAAATGTACCAGGCATCCCAGCCAAGGCATAGCTTGTTGTGAATTATCCACACTAGCTTTCAGCACAGTGAGATTCACAGAACAATTGCTCAGTTTCGTTCATTTCCACAGTGTAGACCTGCCTAGCTCGAGACCCAAGAGTGAAGCAGCAACTGTAAGGAAGCAGGAACATTATAAATAACTCAAGAGAACCCTTTTATAACAGCAACTGCCTGCTGATTTTGTGGCCTAACAGCTCAAGCAAAAAGGATATAAATACAATATTGTGCAATGACTAATTACTCAGAATTTTGTGCATCAGCAGAAGTGCAACCTGTGGTTGGTGCTAATATTATCAAATGCCTTTGCTATTTAATAATCTGGTAGCTGTACATTATTTAGCATGCAATTTTCATGGAGAACAATGATTTTATTTCAAGTACCTCTCACTGAAATAAAAAGGCAGCTGTTAGAAGATCAACATTTGGCAGAACACGTTTTAGTGGAATCTTTTGTAAGATACCAAATCATATTGGATTAACCGTTTTCTGTCTAGGATCGTGGAGTCACAAAGAAAGCTCACTCACCACAGAGGGCAAAGCCAGTCTCTAGACGCCAATGAATCACTAACAGCCCTATTAGTTTTTAAGTGCCATTTACTCAGCAATATATAAAGTTATTTATCTACAAAGCTTCCATTTAATATTGCCTGAACAATGGGCCTTTTTAATCACTTAAGCTCACACTCAGGATTCCACATCTCTTTCATTAATATAAAATTCTTTAAATCATAGAATTTATCCACCACAGACATTTTGGTCAGAATGGGATTTTTAACCAGTCGTAAGTCTCCACAGGCCATTCTTCTCTGGGCTTGCCAGACAGAAGGGCAGTGAAAGCTGTGGTTCAGAGAGGCGCCTGCGGAGGTTGAGGGAGGGTCACAGGCCAGCCCTGCCTCTGAACCTTAAGAGGCAATAGAGCAACAGCTGGGCTCCTTCTGGCTCCATAGCCCACCCACTCCCACCCACTCCCAGGTGGCCAGAGCAGTTCCGAATCCCAAATTGACTAACATGTTCTTCAAGCTGGATAACCACCAGTCAAAGTAGGGGTGTATCCACGAATAAACGACAACATTACATGGCTGCTGGATACAACAGTTTCAGCAAAAGAACACTGTGGCAGAGCTGCTTTGATGTGGCCATATTGATTCACATTAATTTGTAGTAATTAGTTCGAAACTACCAGCAGTTCCACAGGAGAAAGATAAAGCTTTCTGCTCCCATAAAGATTCACAGCCTCAGAAACCCTGTACAAGGTTGCTACGGGTCAGAACCAACTCCACGGCATACCACCACACTACCAAATTATAAACAAATTTATTTTTCTTCTGAAATTATCAAACTATGTAGAAAACAAACAGCTTCACCTTATCACTAATTCCCCCTCCTAGAGTAGAGATGAGTCAAGATTAAAAATAGAGGGAAGATTACAAAATGGCTGATAATTACTTATAGGGTGAGGCTCAGGCTGGACTGAGTGTGGAAGGAAGCAGGGAAGGGGAGCAATCAGGGATGTCTGTTGTATACATTCTTTGGTAATAGACAGTGTGTCTGCATTGTTCACATGGTTGTTTTGATCCAAGTGCTGCCTGCCTCAAAGCAGCTTTCTTAAACCTCCCCACTTCTGCGTGAGTGTGACTGTTGAGGCCATGGCCCTTCACAAGCTGAAGCAGAGAGCAGACTTAGAAAGAGTCAGGCCCCAGAGAGAATCTGTCCATATGGACCACTGGCTCAAATTGACAAGAGCCTTTTGTTACCATAATGGAGCCAGATCAGTCCGTGGTGCTACTTTCTGAGGTAGTCAGAGCACTGTACCCATTTGCATTCATAGCTGGACATCAGGACAGCTGTGACACTGTAGTGGGCAAATGTTTTGTTTTTTTTTTCTTTGGTTCAATTTAGGTCAAATTCAAGTGATGCGGTTATTACGATAATCTGTATTTTGACCAAGGATTACTAAATAACTTACAAGACCTGTGGGTGGCTCTAACAGTGAAGTGCTCGATTGAACCAACAGGTTGGCAGTGTGAAGCCACTCCAGAGCTATCTTGGAAGAAAGACCTGGCCGTCACAGCCATGAGACGTCTCTGAAGCACGGTTCGTTTCTGAAACGCATGGTGCTGCTATGAGTCAGAATCAACTGCACAGCAACCAGTACTAAGTGTTTGTGAACCAAATCACTTGCCATCAAGTTGATTCCAACTGACGGTGATCCCATGTGTGCTCCATAGGGTTTTCAAGGAGGTGACCTTTCAGAAGCTGATCACCAGGCCTTTCTTCCAAGGCACCTCTGGGTGGGTTCAAGTCATCAACATTTTGGTTAGTATTCAAGTACTTAATCATTTACACCACCCAAGGTACCAATAAATCATTCTGACAATTCTGGGATGGAGATTGGTAGTTTTTCTTATTCTGTAGCAGCTGAAGTATCATCAAGATACTGAAAATTCAAAGACCAGTGTCGTTTTAATATAGCAACTGCTGGTGTGGCACTGTAGGATAAGCAAAGAACTGCTAACTGCAAGATCTGTGGCTCAAATCCACCAGGCTGCTCCTCAGGAACTCTACAAAGGGTAGCTATTGAGCCGGAAGCAACTCCCCAGCACTTAACAAGAAACAACAGCGTTCTGAGCAGTGAAATGCTGCCCCAGACATAAATTGGCACCATCTTACTTTGATTTTGCATTCAACCCCCCATTGATCGCTGCTGTAATTTATCAAAATGAAAGAAGAATCTAGCCCCGTACAACCTCATTCCAGATGGAAATGCATAATTCAAGAAAACACTGATGTCAAAGAAGAGAAGACACACCAATTTGTGTCAGCATTAGGTGTAAATTAAAGAGAACAAGAAGGGCTTAATGTAATGTAGAGTTGAAAATAAAATTAGAACCAATATTTAGGCAATTTTCCACCTCTTTCTCCCTGCTGTGACACTTAAGAATTCGCTCTCAAGCTTAAGTACCTAATGTAGTCCGTTTTTCTTTTCTGCTAGGATTTTTCTCCATTAAAATATCATTGCATATTTATCTCTGACAAGCAGCCCTGGTGATGCAGCAGATTAAGCATTGGGCTGCTAACCAAAAGGTCGGTGGTCTGAACCCACCAGCTGTTACACAGGAGAGAAATGAGGCTGTCCGCTTCCGTCAAGATTTACAGCCTCTGAAACACTATGAAGCAGTTCTACTCCATCCTGCAGGGTCACTATGGGTAAGAATCCACTTGACAGCAGTGGGTTCTCTCTGACATCAAAATTATTGTTGTTATGTGCCATGGAGTCGGTTGGTTCCAACTCATAGCGACCCTGCACAGGGTTTCCGGGTTTCCGAGGCTGTAAATCTTTATGGGAGCAGAAAGCCTCATCTTTCTCCCGTGGAACAGCTGGTAGTTTTGAACTGCTGACTATAAGATTAGCAGCCCAGTACGTAACCACTATGCTACCAGAGATCCTTCATCAAAATAAGGTCTATCTTTATTCTAAACTCAACAGAAAAGCCAGGCTAGGGAGAGGCACTGATGTGGCACTGTAAGATAAGCACAGGACTAAAAACTTCAGTTTGAACCACAGTGTCAGCAGTCATTCCTTGGAAGCCTTATACGAGTTGCCATGAGTTAGACCCCACTGAACAGCACTTAACAACCACAAGGAAGTCAAAGTTTTCCCCTTATATTCCAGATCCATAGTGTTTGTGGACTAGAAGGAGCCCAGCTATACCAGTCTGATTAGTTCCATTTCTGTAACTAGTTGCCAGTTCCAACATTTTAACAGGGCCCCCGGGTTGTATACATAAGAATCACCTGATAGAAATGTCGATTCTAATTCAATATATCTGAGATGGAAATGCAAGTTTTCAACCCGGGGTTTGAACTGGAATTTGCTGTTAGTTCTCTCTACTGTGGCTGTCACATACAGTTTTTCTTTTTTCTTAAAGCTGGAAAATAAAAGGTTGATAACAAATATCTCACAATGTCCTACTGTACAAGGTGCTCCTATACACTTATGAGAAGTCTTTGGCATATATCCAAAAGTGTGTTCTCTCATTTAAAGTAGTCACTTTGGGAAGCTTCACAATTAGTTCAATCACAGTGCCATTGTTAAGAACCATTTTGATTCTTTATTCAAAAATTCTCAAGAGGCAGTGTTGTTTCCAGTAGCTCGTTATTTTGGCAAATGGTGGGATTCCCTAACTTGATGCCTGCGCGAATTATTTCTTTTTGAAGGCTCAACAAGAGGCTGGTCTTCATGAGATGGAGATTAAAGATATCCCAAATGTCTGACTCTTCAAAAGTGCTATATTGTTGTGTTGTCAAGTTTGAACTGCTGATCCTACAGTGTCACACCAGGACTCCCACTCTGTAATACCTGATAGCAACCACCACTTGTGTCAGCATCACCACCATCACCACACGTCCCAGGATGCCAAAGTTGGCTGCAACGCCTCCCAGGACTCACAGGCTGTCAAGGAAATGACTTACATAGTTGTGGATTCTGGCAAGTCTCAAATCTGCAGTCTGGTGTCAGCCTGGAGGCTCCTCCTCACTTATGCCAAATCAGGCTGTTGACTCACAAGGTGGTGGAAGCTGGTGAGTCAGGTCAGGCCGCTGGCTTGAGTCCCAAAGAGCTGAGGTCACACAGAGGCCAACTTGGTTAATCAAGCAAAGGAGCACATAGCCTGCTCACAGCCCCAAGATGGCTCATTTATACCCCGCAGCACAGCGCCCTTGACCAAACCCCTCGTTACATTTCCAGGTTTTACAATCACAATTAACCCTGTTAACAGTCTCACACCTGAACCAAACAATGCTATCAGCATCATCTCCCACCTTCTCTTGCTGAGACCCATCAGGAAAAAGTTATTGAGTGAAGTTTCGGACTATGATTAGAAGAAACATAGTTAATAAGTCACCGCCCTGCAATCCCCTACCTTAGAATTGATTTTAAATAATTCACTGTTTCTAGAAATAATTTCCTTAAGATAGCAATTCTCAAAGTATGGCCCAGACTGGGAGCTTGTTAAAAATGCAAATCCTGGACCCCTTCCAATTTAATGTATTATCAACTTTGGGGATGGAAGTCAGAAACCTGTGTTTTAACAAATCCCCCAGGTGATTCTGATCCTTCTGATGCATAATCAAGTTTGAAAGTCATTGGCTTAGAAGGTGAAGTTTTGCCTCTGTTGAGAATGCTACAAATTGTGAAGATATTGCAAAAGAAAAGTTTCAAAACTTTTGGAGTACAAGTGTCTGTGACCTCCCTGAACCGTCAACTGAAGCATCTCAACTCTGTCACCTACTAGCCATTTGGCCTTGATCAAGTTCTTACAATTGGTTTCTCATCTGGAAAATGAAAATGGTACCCCACCTATCAGAAGCTCTGGTGGCACAATTTTTAAGTGCTTTGTTGTAAACAAAAGGTCAACTGTTTGAACCCACCATCAGCTTCTTGGGAGAAAGCATGGCAGGTACTTCCCTAAAGACTGTTCTTGTTAAGTGCCATAAAGTCTGTTCTGACTCATGAAGGCCCTGTATAGGGTTTCCAAGGATTGACTGGTGGGTTTGAACCACTGACCTTGTGGCTAACAGTCCAATATGTAACCTACAGTGCCACACCAGTGTGTGGCATAAAGATTACTGTTGTTGTTGTTAAGTGCCATGGATTTGGTACAGGCTCACTGCAACCTTGTATAGGGTTTCCGAAGAGTGGCTGGTAAGTTTGGACCACCAACTTGGTGGTTCAGTGGACCTTTTGGCCCAGAACTTATCCCACAGTGCCACACCAGGACTCCCATAAAGATGACAGTATAGGAAACCTAGGGGACAGTTCT